AAGTAAAATAGTAAGCAACATTCATTCATCATTCGGGTGGGGGCATTTATCTTTGTCCCCAGGCCTGACGGGCTAGCCAGGTCTTAAGGGCTGTGCGGAAGGTCTGGACCGTGGTGAGGGTACGAATCTCCACGGGGAGATCGTTCCAAAGGGTCGGAGCTACTACTGAAAAGGCTGAAAAGGCTCTCCTCCGTGTAGTTGCCAGTCGGCACTGACTGGCAGATGGGAGTTGTCTCTCTTCCTGGATCAGAGGGAAGGAACGTTGGTTCTTACCTGAATGTTAATTTTCAGTGTGATCCGGGAGGGGCTATGCATGGGATATCAACACAGTGTCAGACCTGCAGATGGTTCCTTTTAGGATCTTTGGACTGCCATACTCTATTATTTTACTATGCTTTTTCATTAGTGGAGAATTGGGAGGGGAAATAGTAAGGAGTAAAATGTTGGAACGCTGACACACAGCCTGATTGATCCAGAGACTGAGGGAAATTCTTTGCCACACTTTCTCCTTCCCTTGGCTCCCCAGTTTCCTTAAGGTCGCGGAAAGCAGTCCACCTGAAAGGCATAAGACAACCAGGCCACCCGCCAGCCCTCCACCTGACTAACTACGTCTGACCAGGGAGGGATGTAGCCTTCCCACATCACACTGAAAATTAACGCTTAGGCAAGAACCAACATTCCTTTTCCAGTGTGTGATGCAGAGGGGCTACGCATGGGACATACCCAAGCTAGCATCCCTAGGGAGGGAAAGAATCTAAGACATGGAAGCTGGGGTGGCCACCACTTGTTGGAGAACCCTGTGACCAAAGGATGCCTCAGCTGATGCAAAGGCATCTAGCCAGTAGTGGCGAATGAAAGGTGATGGGGTAGACCATGTAGCCACCCTGCAAATATCTTCAACCGGAGCCCTGGTCAACCATGCTGCCATGGTTGCTGCACTCTGCATGGAGTGAACTGTAATCCCTAGGGGAGGGGCCTGACCCGTAACCTCACAAACCATGGCAATGGCCTGGCAAATCCACCTCCCGACGGTCGTAGGAGTAATCCTAGCTCCCAAGGTAGCGGGGAGGAATGAGACAAACAATGCCTCAGATCTGCGGGATGGGGCCGTGCACCGGATATAAATACGGAGGGCCCGCCATACATCCAACCTATGCCAAAAGCGCTCCCTATTATTGGAGGGCACCAGACAAAGGTTCGGGAGAACAATCTCCTGCGTTCTATGGAAAAGTGTGTTCACCTTTGGTATAAAGGCCAGGTCCAATCTGAGGACCACCCTGTCCTGATGGAAAACACAGAGATCCCCTCAGGTAGACAACACCCCCAGCTCCGAGATGCGCCTGGCCAATGTTATTGCTATCAGGAATGCAACCTTTAAGGTTAGGAGCCAGGGGTGAACCATTCTCAAGGGCTCGAAGGGCGATCCTGTCAGGGTCCTGAGTACCAATGGCAGATCCTAAGTGGGGAACCTGTGGATCATGGGGGGTCGGAGGCTCTCCCCCCCCCAAAGAAACCGTTTTGACAGTTGGAAGCTGAGAAAGAGGGATGCAGCCCTCTCTGGTGAGCACTGTGGACAGTGCTGCCACCTGACGATGGAGAGTGCTATGGGACAACCCCTTGTCCAACCCGTCCTGCAAGAAATCCAGGACCTGAGGGGTGGAAACCGAGGCAGCTGCAACATTAGAAGAGGAACACCATTTAATGAACGCCGCCCATGTGGAATCGTAGATTCTAGTGGTCGATGGATGCCTCGACAGTCGCAATGACTTTCAAAGAAAGGTTGGCATTCCTCGGGAGGCTCCGCTCAAATGCCAGGCGGTCAAGTGGAGCCACTGGGGATCTAGATGGACCAGAACCCCCTGGCACAGAGAGATCTCCCCCTGAGGAATCCTCCATGGGGGCGAGACTGACATTTGGACCAAGTCCGCGAACCATGGCTGTCTGGGCCAAGGCAGAGTCAGAAGAATAAATTCCGCCCTCTCTGCCTCTATGTCCCCTCGCACTCTGTGTTGGAAACCTTGAGAAGAAGTGTGGGAACTGTGTGTTTGCCGGGATTGCAAAGAGATCCACCAGGGGGGTGCCGAATCGCTGACAAATCCTTCGGAACAGATCGGAGTGGAATTGCCACTCCCTGTGGTCCATGGTTGCACAGTTGAGCCAGTCGGCCTGGTGGTTGGCCATGCCTGAGATGTGTTCTGCCACTATTGATGACAAGTGTCTCTCCGCCCATGACCTGAGCTTCAGGGCTTCGAGCCATAGGCTCCTCGAGTGCGTGCCCCCCTGGCAGTTCACGTGAGCCTTTGTGGCAACATTGTCCGTCAAAAGGAGAACATGCTGGTTGGTCAGAAGGTCCCGGAAATGGAGGAGCGCCAGTCTTCAGTTCCAGACAGTTTATATTGTGAAGCAAGTCGGACACCATCCACTGACCTTGCGCCAGCTGGGAACCCATTAGTGCCCCCAGCCGAAAAGGCTTGCATCCGTAGTGACTGTGATGCGGGCATGTTCCCGGAACTTGGATCCCCAATGCAGCACTGGGGAGAGCCACCACCTGAGCGAGAGCCGTATGTCTGTCGGCAGCTTGATGAGGACCGAGGACTTGCTGAGAAGCTGCCTTTGATATGGAATGAGCGCCCACTGAAGGGGCCTGGCATGCAGATGTGCCCATGGCACAATCCCGATGCAAGATACCATCTTGCCCAGGAGATGGGACAGGTCCAAGATGGAAACGGACTGACTTGAGCATACTTGTCAAATCAAGGTTCGTAGGCTGGATTGGTGGTCTGGGGAGAGCAACACCAGTCCTGCCGCCGAATTTATGATTGCTCCGAGATGAAGAATCCTTGTCGAGGGAGAGAGATGACTCTTTGCTAAGTTCACAGAGAACCCCAACATCTGGAGCGTCTGGATTGTGAGGCATAGATCATGCAGCGCCTGAGAGGGGTACTGGGCCTGAACTAATATGTCATTGAGGTACCATTGGAGTCTCACCAGGATAGACCACAGGTGAGCCACCAATGTCCTCAAGACTTTCGTGAAAGTCCGCAGAGCAGAAGCCAGCCCAAATGGAAGGGCCCTGTACTGATAATGGGACCCCGACTGTGAGAACCTGAGATACCTGCAGTGTCGTGGAAGGATTTGGATGTGTAAGTAGGCCTCTGTGAGGTCCACCGACGCCAAGTGATCCCCGTTCCTGATCCCTTGACTGACTTTAGGGAGGCCATCTTGAAGCGCCTGTAAACCAGGTAGGCATTCAGACACTTGAAGTCGAGAATCGCCCTCCACCCCACCAAACTTTTTGGAACAACAAAGAGGTTGGAGTAGAACCCCAACCCCCGTTCCGTCAATGG